TGTGTGTGTGTGTGTGTGTGTGTGTGTTTGATGGAGATTTTAAGATTTCTTTTATCATATTTTCAATTGGTTATTGTAAATAGGAAGACTGTTGAATTTTGCATATTAATATTACAAGCAGACATCTCACAGAATTATATTTTAATAGTTTTTTTAAATTCAAGGAAGATTTATAATTAAATTATTAATTTTCAGGAAATTAGTTCAAGGAAGAATTTAATATAAATTGGGTGCTATGAGTGTATTTAGTAGGGGACTGGATTTCTCTTTAAGGAGTCAGTGAAAGCTTCCCAGAGGTCTGATGTTTCATCTGAGATCTGAAAGATGTGCAGGATTAGGTAAATTGAGGGCGGATGAGATAGGAGAACAGTTTGCGAGAAGGCCTTGCTTGAGGTCAGGCCAAGGGAGGGAAAATGCAGAGCTGAGGGAAAGGAACCAGAAGAGGCTGGAAGTTAAGAATTCCAATTATTAATGTCTTTTTGTAGACAAAAAAAAGTCTAGTACAGAGTCATACTGAACACTTAAAAGTAAAGCAAGAACTAACAGTGTAAGATCCACAGTAATTTATCACATTTGATCAACTATGTGATCACATGCTAAATTCCTGACTTTTGTTTTCAGAATGTGGTCGAACTATTGCTGGAGCAACCAAAGGGACAAAAATGATGAGACTCTATATAGACAGTGCAGCTCCAGAGAAACTAAAAGGGCTGTGTGTATTTTTTGTTCGCTGTCGAAATGATGTTGCTGTAAATGTTAAAAATATTCATGAGGTATGTATACATTTTTCCCCAGATACATAGTTAAACATTTTTGCCTCCTTAATTGAGATATAATTGATGTATACCATTGTGTAAATTTAAGGTGTCTAACATGTTGATTTAATACATTTATATATTGCTATATGACTACCAATGTAGCATTAGTGAACACCTCCATCACTTCACATAATTACATAATTACCATTTCTCTTTTTTTGGTGATGACATTTAAGATTTACTTTCTTAGCGACTTTCAAGTATATAATAAGTATTGTTAACTATAATCACCATGCTGTATATATCCCCCAAATGTATTCTTCTTATAACTGAAGTCTGTATCCTTTGACCTGCATTTCTAATTTCTTCTATACCCCAGCCCCTGGTAATCACCATTCTATTTCTATGAGTTTGGCTTTTTTAGATTCCACATACAAGTATTTGTCTTTCTCTCTCTAACTTATTTCACTTAGCATAATATTCTTAAGGTCCATCAACATTTAAAACGCAAGACTTCTGTCTTTCTCATGGCTACATAACATTCCATTATGGATAATATGTGCTATTCCATATATATGGCACATCTTTATCCATTCATCCAGAGATGGACACTTAGGTTGTTTCCATATCTTCATTATTATGAATAATGGTGCAATGAACATGGTATGTCCTGTTTCCCCTTTTAAAAAGTCATTTGTGAATCTACTCTAGATGCTTTGCTTTGTTTTTACTATGAGGTTTACATAGAAATTATATAGACATAACAGTCTATTTTGTGCTGATAACAACTTAACTTTAACTACATATAAGTACTCTACTCTTCTGCTCCCCTCTTTTATGTTTTTGATGTCACAATTTACCTCTTTTTATATTGTGCATTCACTGACAAGTTATGGTAGCTATGGTTATTTTTACTACTGTTGTCTAACCTCTGTACTATAGGCAAGTGATTAATACACCACCCATTTTACAGTATTAGAGTATTCTGAATCTATTACTTAACCAGTGTATCATGTATCTTCATAAGTGTTCATCTTATTAATTAGTGTTCTTGCATCAGCTTGAAGAACTTATTTCAGCATTTCTTGTAAGGCAGGTCCAGTGGTAATGAATTCCCTCAACTTTTGTTTGTTTGGGGAAGTTTTAATATCACTTTTGTTTCTGATGGGTCATTTTATCAGTTAGAGTATTCTTGATTAGTAGTTTTTTTCTTTCAACACTTTGAATATATCATTCAACCCTTTACTGGCCTGTTAGGTTTCTTCTAAGAAATCTGTTGATAGACTTAAAGGATTCTCTTTTAAGTTACATGCTTCTCTTATCTTGCTGCTTTTAAGATTTTCTTTTTGTTTTTGAATGTTAAAGTGTTGAGTCTCAAGTGCATTTTGTTTGGTGACCTATGAGTTTTGTGATCATGAATATACAAATATTGCTTCAGATTTGGGAAGTTCTCAGCCATTATTTCTTAAATAAGCCCTCTGCCCCTTTTTCCTTTTCTTCTCTCTCTGGAACTCCAATAACTTGTAAATTGGTTCTTTTGATGGTATTCTATATGTCATTTAGGCTTTCTTCACATTTTTGTACTTTTTCTTTGTTCTTCTCTGACTGGATAATTTCAAAGTTCCCATCTTCTGTCTCACAGATTCTTTCTCCTGTTTGATCCATTCTGTTGTTGATGCTACCTATTGTGTTTTTCATTTCTTGGTATTCTTCAGCTCCAGAATTTCTATTTAGTTCTTCTTCTTTTTTATTAAGGTATCATTGATATACAATCTTATGCTCAGGTTTCACATGAGCAACATTGTAGTTACTAGTTCCCCCCATTATCAAGTCCCCACCACATACCCCATTACAGTCACTGTCTATCAGCGTAGTAAGATGCTATAGAGTCACTACTTGTCTTCTCTGTGCTATACTGCTTTCTCCGTATCCCCCTCTACATTATGTATGCTAATTGTAATGCTCCCTTATTCCCCTTCTCCCTCCCTTCCCACCCCCTGCATCCCCTGCCACCCCAGTCTCTTTCCCTTTGGCAACTGTTAGTCCTTTCTTGGGTTCTGTGATTCTGCTGCTGTTTCGTTCCTTCAGTTTTTGCTTTGTTCTTATGCTCCACAGATGAGTGAAATCATTTGGTACTTGTCTTTGTCCACCTGGCTTATTTCACTGAGCATAATACCCTCTAGCTCCGTCTGTGTTGTTGCAAATGGTAGGATTTGTTTTCTTCTTATTGCTGAATAGTATTCCATTGTGTACCACATCTTCTTTGTCCATTCATCTGCTGATGGACACTTAGGTTGTTTCCATTTCTTGGCTATTGTAAATAGTGCTGCAATAAACATAGGGTTACATATGTCTTTTTTTTTGGTATCATTAATGTACAATTACATGAGCACGTTATGTTTACTAGACTCCCCCCATTATCAAGTCCCCACCACATACCCCATTGCAGTCACTGTTCATCAGTGTAGTAAGATGCTATAGAATCACTACTTGTCTTCCCTGTGCTATACTTCCTTTCCCATGTCCCCCCTATATTATGTGTGCTAATCATAATGCCTCTTAATCCCCTTATCCCTCCCTTCCCAACCACCCTCCCCAGTCCCTTTCCCTTTGGTAACTGTTAGTCCATTCTTGGGTTCTGTGAGTTTGTTGCTGTATTGTTCCTTCAGTTATTGCTTTGTTGTTATACTCCACTGTTTAGTTCTTCTTTTTTACTGATTTCTATCCCTGTTAAGCTTTTCATTTTGTTCATGCATTGTTTTCCTGATTTTGTTAATTATTTTGCTTTGTTTTCTTATAAGCTCATTAATTTCCCTTAAAACAGTTAGTTTGAATTCCTTATCAGGTGAATTGCAGATTTCCATGTCTTTGGGGTTACTTACTAGAAAATTATTGTGATCCTTCAGTGGCGTCACATTACCTTGATTTTTCACAATCTTGAAGTTTTGCATTACTGTCTTCACATCTGAAGTAGTAGTCACCTTGTTCAGTCTTTACTAACTGCCTTTGGGAGAGAAATACCTTCTGTCAGCTCTGCTGGTGATTCTGAGGCTTTCTCAGACCCTCTATGGATAGACCTGCTCTATGTTTCTTGGTGCCTCTTCTGGCAGAATTCTTAAGCTTGTATGCCTCCTCTCAACCCTGCAATGCACCAGGCCAGGTGCTGACAGCTGCCCTTTTGTTTTCCCAAAGGTGACACTAAAAGTCAAGTTTGTGGTCTCTCCTTGGCCCTCAGATTTGGGCTGGCTTTCTGCATGTCCTTAGTAGTCATCTGCTAAAGCTCATTCTTGCGGCTGCCATCATGACCATGCACAGGGAGCCAGACCACAGGGTGGGAAGCATGTGTACATGAGGCATGCTGAGGGCTGGAGGTGCCCAGTAGCCAGCAAGAGGAATCCATGTGCCAGGTGTTCCCAGTGGCCCTTGCTGGGCTCCCAGTGGCAGGCTTTGTGATGGAGTCTGTGACACAGTTGGTAGGATCTGCATTCCATAAAATGCCTTTCAAAAGTCCTATCTAATGGACTTCCAGCCTCCACCTGTCCCCCAACCCCAGTCATGCAGCTCATGATTCAGTACTCTGGGTGGGATAAAAGATAAATGAGACTCTTTGGCAGCATCTGCACAGCTGAGGAAGCCAGGTGCTCACTCACATGCTCTCATTTTCACCTGCAGTAGAAATCAGTGGCTGAGAGGATCTCTCTCAGCCCTAAGCTGTGCTACCCCTGGGGCAGTGTGATGTGGGTAAAGTCAAGCTGCTCTTCTTATCCTGTCCAGTGTGTCCAAACTCATATTTTTTTGCTCCAACTATATGTTGGAACTTCTCTTGAAACCTAGACTTCTATGGAGGCTTTCTTATCTATAGGTTATTGTTTAAAAGTATTTTCCAGGAGTTCCTGATGTGTGGCCAAGAGCAGCTGGAGCTGGTTCATGGGGTACTGCAGGGTCCACAGCCAGACTGGGGTCTACATGCCTATTGCCTGATGTTCATTGGGTGACACTCCGCCTGGGTCCCTTGCTGTGTGGTGCTGGATCCCACAGCTCCCACAAAGCCACCTGTGTCCACTGGGAGAAGCTGAAATAATGGTTTTTGTAGGGAAACAAAAACATGGAGCATCTTATTCCACCATGCTCTAGTGTCACCAGCTTGTAGTTAACCATTGAATATATTTTCATAGTTACACTTTTGCTTTCTCTTTTCCCTTTCTATGCATAGGTTTGAACTGAGTTCCAAGAAAATGCTGTATTCATATATTCAAAGAAACTGAGAAATTAGCTATAATAGAACTTAGTGTTATTTATTTTTTGGATACTGCTTTTAAAATCCATGAAAATTCCAATTTCTAGATGGTATGCAAATCGTTTCCATACTTCCATTCACTGGGAACACAGTGTTGTTCACACCATTTTGAGTAGTAGTTACTTTATATCCTATTCAATTATGATTTTAACTCTTTAGTGGTTTTAGAAGGAGAAAGAGAATGGACCTAAAGCCTGGACATTACTTAGGTAGTCTTGGGAAGGCAGGATGGCAGATTGGGAAAAGTAGGAATTTTAGTCAGACAGACTCAAATTTGTGTCCCAGCTCCACTACTGGCTGGTGGTGTGTTCTTTGGCAAGTTGCTCATCCTCTCTAAGACTTATCTTCTCCCTCCCTTCCCACCCCCTGCATCCCCTGCCACCCCAGTCTCTTTCCCTTTGGCAACTGTTAGTCCTTTCTTGGGTTCTGTGATTCTGCTGCTGTTTCGTTCCTTCAGTTTTTGCTTTGTTCTTATGCTCCACAGATGAGTGAAATCATTTGGTACTTGTCTTTGTCCACCTGGCTTATTTCACTGAGCATAATACCCTCTAGCTCCGTCTGTGTTGTTGCAAATGGTAGGATTTGTTTTCTTCTTATTGCTGAATAGTATTCCATTGTGTACCACATCTTCTTTGTCCATTCATCTGCTGATGGACACTTAGGTTGTTTCCATTTCTTGGCTATTGTAAATAGTGCTGCAATAAACATAGGGTTACATATGTCTTTTTTTTTGGTATCATTAATGTACAATTACATGAGCACGTTATGTTTACTAGACTCCCCCCATTATCAAGTCCCCACCACATACCCCATTGCAGTCACTGTTCATCAGTGTAGTAAGATGCTATAGAATCACTACTTGTCTTCCCTGTGCTATACTTCCTTTCCCATGTCCCCCCTATATTATGTGTGCTAATCATAATGCCTCTTAATCCCCTTATCCCTCCCTTCCCAACCACCCTCCCCAGTCCCTTTCCCTTTGGTAACTGTTAGTCCATTCTTGGGTTCTGTGAGTTTGTTGCTGTATTGTTCCTTCAGTTATTGCTTTGTTGTTATACTCCACTGTTTAGTTCTTCTTTTTTACTGATTTCTATCCCTGTTAAGCTTTTCATTTTGTTCATGCATTGTTTTCCTGATTTTGTTAATTATTTTGCTTTGTTTTCTTATAAGCTCATTAATTTCCCTTAAAACAGTTAGTTTGAATTCCTTATCAGGTGAATTGCAGATTTCCATGTCTTTGGGGTTACTTACTAGAAAATTATTGTGATCCTTCAGTGGCGTCACATTACCTTGATTTTTCACAATCTTGAAGTTTTGCATTACTGTCTTCACATCTGAAGTAGTAGTCACCTTGTTCAGTCTTTACTAACTGCCTTTGGGAGAGAAATACCTTCTGTCAGCTCTGCTGGTGATTCTGAGGCTTTCTCAGACCCTCTATGGATAGACCTGCTCTATGTTTCTTGGTGCCTCTTCTGGCAGAATTCTTAAGCTTGTATGCCTCCTCTCAACCCTGCAATGCACCAGGCCAGGTGCTGACAGCTGCCCTTTTGTTTTCCCAAAGGTGACACTAAAAGTCAAGTTTGTGGTCTCTCCTTGGCCCTCAGATTTGGGCTGGCTTTCTGCATGTCCTTAGTAGTCATCTGCTAAAGCTCATTCTTGCGGCTGCCATCATGACCATGCACAGGGAGCCAGACCACAGGGTGGGAAGCATGTGTACATGAGGCATGCTGAGGGCTGGAGGTGCCCAGTAGCCAGCAAGAGGAATCCATGTGCCAGGTGTTCCCAGTGGCCCTTGCTGGGCTCCCAGTGGCAGGCTTTGTGATGGAGTCTGTGACACAGTTGGTAGGATCTGCATTCCATAAAATGCCTTTCAAAAGTCCTATCTAATGGACTTCCAGCCTCCACCTGTCCCCCAACCCCAGTCATGCAGCTCATGATTCAGTACTCTGGGTGGGATAAAAGATAAATGAGACTCTTTGGCAGCATCTGCACAGCTGAGGAAGCCAGGTGCTCACTCACATGCTCTCATTTTCACCTGCAGTAGAAATCAGTGGCTGAGAGGATCTCTCTCGGCCCTAAGCTGTGCTACCCCTGGGGCAGTGTGATGTGGGTAAAGTCAAGCTGCTCTTCTTATCCTGTCCAGTGTGTCCAAACTCATATTTTTTTGCTCCAACTATATGTTGGAACTTCTCTTGAAACCTAGACTTCTATGGAGGCTTTCTTATCTATAGGTTATTGTTTAAAAGTATTTTCCAGGAGTTCCTGATGTGTGGCCAAGAGCAGCTGGAGCTGGTTCATGGGGTACTGCAGGGTCCACAGCCAGACTGGGGTCTACATGCCTATTGCCTGATGTTCATTGGGTGACACTCCGCCTGGGTCCCTTGCTGTGTGGTGCTGGATCCCACAGCTCCCACAAAGCCACCTGTGTCCACTGGGAGAAGCTGAAATAATGGTTTTTGTAGGGAAACAAAAACATGGAGCATCTTATTCCACCATGCTCTAGTGTCACCAGCTTGTAGTTAACCATTGAATATATTTTCATAGTTACACTTTTGCTTTCTCTTTTCCCTTTCTATGCATAGGTTTGAACTGAGTTCCAAGAAAATGCTGTATTCATATATTCAAAGAAACTGAGAAATTAGCTATAATAGAACTTAGTGTTATTTATTTTTTGGATACTGCTTTTAAAATCCATGAAAATTCCAATTTCTAGATGGTATGCAAATCGTTTCCATACTTCCATTCACTGGGAACACAGTGTTGTTCACACCATTTTGAGTAGTAGTTACTTTATATCCTATTCAATTATGATTTTAACTCTTTAGTGGTTTTAGAAGGAGAAAGAGAATGGACCTAAAGCCTGGACATTACTTACGTAGTCTTGGGAAGGCAGGATGGCAGATTGGGAAAAGTAGGAATTTTAGTCAGACAGACTCAAATTTGTGTCCCAGCTCCACTACTGGCTGGTGGTGTGTTCTTTGGCAAGTTGCTCATCCTCTCTAAGACTTACATCTTACCGTTCTTAATTTCGGAACAGTAATACGCGTGTTGGAGAGTTGTTGTGAGACTCAATCGCAATATAAGCAAATTCTTATCTTGCCTGATGGATAGTAGGCCCTCAACAAATATTAGTTCTTTTTAGTATAGTTACAGAGTCTTAACATCTTTTACAATGGGAAAAATAACTGAAATCAAATCTAATTTTTCTCCATTTCTGTTTATGACAAAAGATTGCTTTAAGAGACGTTGTGTAGCTTGCTTTAGGATTCTAGTTTGGGAATTATGTCCCCCCGCCCCGACTCCATTATCTTCTGGTATCTGTGTGGCTGAGACCTGTCCTGTTAGTGTGCTTCACAGGTAATCTGTCTTCCTGTTTGCTTTTGGTCCTTCTCTTTGAAGTCCTGCAGTTTCACAGTGGTGTCTCTATGTGTGGATTCATTCCCTCAGTCTGTCTTGCATAGTTCTCCCTTCAACTTGTCTGTGACTTGACTCATTCTTTTTTATAGTTGAGATTTTGTTGTATTAGAGTTGCTTAAGAAGTGCTGTAGATCTTGTTACGAAAACTGATTTCTATCCCACTCTCTAGAAGCAACCACTAAACTTTTAGCAGATTCTTTCATTTGCTTCTGTATTTTTAAATAATACACTCTGACTGCTCCTTTGCCAGTTTTGACATTATCTGTTGACTTTTTTCTATGGAAGAGGTTGATTTAGCTCTTTTTTGTCCAGTACCCTCCCACCATTTCCCATCCATCCATTCTTCCGACATAGTTATATTTTATTCTGGTTAGCTTAATATTTGTTCACATCACAGGTAAATGCAATCATAGCTGAGCCATGTAGTATACCAGTAATTCTCAACACGATCCCCAAGACTCTTTCAGGGAATCTGTGAGGTTAAAACCATTTTCATCATAGTACTAAGATGTTATTTACCCTTTTAACTGTGCTGATATTTGACTAATGGTGCGGCAATAATGGGGGGGAAACTGTTGATACCTTAGCACAAATGCTAGCAAACTATGAACAGTCATTTTGTTTTCTACTGCCATACACCCACAGTTAAAAAACAGTTTTTAGTGGCTTTGGCTTTAACTTCTTGGCTTGTGATTTCCATATCACTTAAATTGTATTAATTGAGATGTCACAGTTGTGGATGCTGGACTTTTGATTTCTGAGATTTAGATTGATTTCTTGTGGATTATTATTTTTACATTTAAAATTCTTGGCAAGGGCTAGTTTTCATTGCTCTTTTCCTAGCCTGACAGAGGCTTTCTGGTTCTATTTTCATGGACAGGGCACCTTTCCACTAAGAGCTTTCTTTATGCAGGAGGCTCAGCTTCATCTCCTTCACACTGTACAGGCTTCAGGCCACATCTCCTTCCCTTTGCACCAATTAAAGCACTGAGGAAGGTGTCTCTTTGGTTAGCAAATGTGAATGGTTAAAATGGGGGTGGAATATAAAGTTGTCTATTTTAGAACTCTAATGTTCATGACCACTTAATTTTTCCTAATGATTTATAAAATGCATCATCTATGCTTATAGTAATGTAAAATGGGTTATGATTTTCAGTTCTTTAATGAGATTAGCATACAAAATAACATTTGAATATTACCCTTTCAGGAAGTGCTATTCACTGTTCTGGATGCATCAAAAGGACTCCTAATTGGGATTAGGAATATGCTGGCAAAAATATTTTTACCAGCTATTCTTGCAACAAGTAATTGGGGTGCTTTAAGCCAGTCTAAGCAAGCAGAGTCTGAAAAACATATTTTCACTGAAACCATCAACAGATACCTTTCATTTTTAGATAGTAAGTATAAAATTTAATGTTTAGTAAATTAGTAAATACAAGCAAATTAACTGTAAGATATGTTACTAAATATAAGCATTAGAGAAAAAATTCCCATCTTAAAAGTTGTGTTAATCAAAGTTATTACAAGACCTAGAGATAAGATCAAATCATTAGAACCTTTCATTTCCAGGGATATTTGTAGATATAAGATATTTTCTTTTTTCTTTTTCATTGTGTCAGAAGGATTCTCTTCTTATATTATTAATGAAAATTTTCACTGTATTTAAAAATACATGCTTTATTAATAGCTCTTTTAGAATATATAATTTTATCTTCCCATATTATTAAATATATAATATTAACAAAGCACCAAGTCACGATCTAATGATCAGTTTGACTTATATTTCTAAAAAGTATTAGATCTCTGACATTACAGCTTAAAACTACATGTTGATATTGAACACCTCTTCTCAATATAATTTCTTCCCTTTTAGGTGCTAGAATAAGTGTTGAGGGAACAGTTAAGTTAAAGAAGATAGATAATGTTGATTTTTCCAAACTGCAAACTTCAGAAGAAGTGGCAGCTGCAGCCAGCAACCCAGAAACTGTTCGTCAACTAGAGGATGTGCTGATGATATGGTACAAACAGATCGAACAGGTGAGCTAACTCAAGTAATTTAATATATAAGTGGTAGTTCTCATCAGTGTCCTGGCCATTGCAGTTTGTCCCTAAAAGTAAAGGGAAGAGGAGTCTTCCTGATTCTGTTATGAAACTTCAGCCTTTTCTCGACTCTAGTGCAAAATCATTGTTCTCTAAGGAACACTTAAAATCAATTTTAAGGTATTTCTTACTTTAAGGGGGAGGCAATGACAATAACCACAACCCCTTTAAGGGGTTGAGAATGAAATAATGAAGAATCAGGAACAGCAAGCATTAATTTATAGTACTTCATATATTGTTTGTATGTGAAGAGGAACAGGACACAGTGAAGATACTATTGCCTCTTGGTTGATCAATGCAATTGTCTGTGTTGACAAAGAGGTTCAGACTAGGCTCATTCATATCAGTTCTACAGTGGCAACTCTGCAACTCTCTGGCCAAATAAATTTTCTCTGGCAATAAGGAAAGCAGTGATAGGAATGAGGTATATGTCAACATTTTGAGAGGTCTCAACTTGCAGTACAAATACTGAGCCAAAAATCAGATACTATGTAATTGCCTAGAGAGGACTCTAGGGTTCAAATGACGGATTCTAGTCCAGCAGTACAGGACAGGGGAACACTAGAGGAAAACGCTCAGTTAAGTGAAGAGTAGAGGAGAAAAATCTTGATCAAGCAAGAGTTGGAAGAGATCATTTCCACTTTTACCTCTCTTAGAACTATGTTATTGGAGAGAGCTGTAGTTGGAGTGGAAAAATCAGAGGACTTTAGAACCTCCAATAAGGCCTGGAGTGTTGTCCACCGAATTTGCTTCTAGGTGTCACTAGGAGATTGAAGTACTTAATTGCACACCAGAGGACTCCTGCAGCCCCCTGCTTTGCCACTGGAGGAAGGGGAAGTTATAACCCACTGTGGAAATCAAGCTGTGTCCTGTGCAGTGGCTGAGGAGGTCCTCTCCAATTATTATGATCAATCATTATAGATCATCTTTAATTAAAATGAGCAAGCAAAAGAAAATAGCTCAACATGGGGAGATTTAACAACTAGAAATAAGAAAATCAGGTTAAGCAATTACAGCAAATGACCTTCAGTTAAGTAGAATCCATGCAGGAAATGGGAAAGATCTTTAAAAAAATTACATCTCAAATCTTCACCTTGACCTCTTATCTTACACAAAATTAACTCAAGATGGATCACAGATGTAAATATGAAAGCTAAAATTAAAAAATGAGTTACATGCAACAACATGGATGAACTCAAAAGCATGTTGTATGAACAAATCCAGCCTTAGAAAAGTAATGTGAAAAAACAAAACAAAACTATAAATGAACCAGAACATAACAGGACTATATTAATATCTTAAGCAAGGTACAAAACCAGAAGCCATGAAAGAAAAACTGACATATTTAGGTACATAAAAAAATATGTAGTAACTTCCATATGGCAAATGCTGTCATAAGTGAAGTTAAAAGATATGCAACCTTCTGGAATAAAGTATTATCAGCATATATAACAAAGAGTTAGTATCCATAATATATAAAGAACTTCTATAAACTATTGAAAAATGGACAATTCAGAGAATAATAGGCCAAGGATATGAACAATGTCACTCAAGGGAAGTACACGGAGATGTTTGATCTGGGGGAAAAAAGAGGGTTAGGAGTGACATAATATCTTCAAATATTTGATGGGATTGCATGTGAAAATAGACTTGTACTGTATGGCCTTAAAAAGGCAGAAGTAATGCCAGAGTGTGATGCTTATAAGACAGATTTTAAATTGAAATCAGGACAACTTCCTCACTGAATTTTTCTCCCCCTGAAAACAAAGTATACCACACCCCTGAAAGTATCCAATTGAGGCTGGATTACCATCTATGAATAATGTAGCAGGAATGAAACATCAAAAGTTATTTGATTTAGTTAATTTTTAAAGTCAATTTTCGTTCTTTAATTCAATGATTCAAATCATATAGACTTTTGGCCTTTATAAAAAGTTTCAATTACGTCTCCTATCCTCTGTTCAAGGGGTGGAGAATCTTGTGATAAATTAGGGAAAAGTTCCATACATCGTGGTTAAAATTAAAAGCACTTCATGGCTTATAGATAGAAACTAAATAGGTTTTAAAAATAAATTATGAATTTTACCCCATTTGTATTCTTAAAAATTCTGTCACAGTTTAAGTTATGAAAAGTTATAAAGATAAAAAGTATGGGGAATAACGCCCCTGTAACTACCACTGAGATTAAACAGATACTGTTTGCTATATGTGTTTTGGATCTCTTTCATTTTCACTAAAGCCTCCAACTCTTCTTCTCCCTCCTTCTATATTACCTCTATGCTGATGTTATTGTCTCCCTCATTCCCCTGAAAGTTTTATACTTTTATTGCATTTGCCTGTTTATAAGCTTTATAATATATATAAAGAAGGTGTATTTGTAAGTTATATATATATAAATGCAAAATGTGTATTTGTGTTTAAAACCTTTTTTAATTGAAGTACAGTTGATATACAATATTATAGTGGGTTCAAGTATACAATGCAGTAGTTCAACAGTTACACACATTAAATCCTCACCCCAACTAGTGCAGTTACTGAAGGATGTTATGTTACAGAACCATGGGCTACATTCTCCGTGCTGTATTACCCTTCCAACGACCAACTTATATTATGATAGAGATTTTTGTGCCTCTTTATTCCCTTCACCTCCACACCCACTCACACCAACCCATGCCCTATGGTAACCACCAGTCACTTTTCAGTGCCTATGAGTCTATTGCTGTTTTATTCATTTTGTTTTGTTTGTTTTTAGATTACACAAATAAGTGAAATCACATGGTATTTGTCTTTCTTTGCCTGGCTTATTTCATAATACCCTCTAGGTCCATCTATATTGTCACAGATAGCAGGATTTCTTTCTTTTTTTATGACTAAATAATATTCCATTGTGTATATGTACCACCTCTTCTTTATTCATTCATCTATTGATGGACACTGGTTGCTTCCATATTTTGGCTGTTGTAAATAATGGGGCAGTAAACGTAGAGGTGCACGTATCTTTTCAAAAAAAATCAGGGAATTTTGTTTTCTTTAGGTAAATTCCTAGAAGTAGAATTACTGGGTTGTATGGTATTTCTATTTTAAGTTTTCTGCGGAACCTCTATACTGCTTTCCATAGTGGCTGCACCAAATGACATTCCCACCAACAGTGTAGGAGGGTTCCTTTTTCTCCACATCCTCGCTAACACTTGTTATTTCTTGTCTTTTGGATAGTAGCGATTGTGTGTTCATTTACATAAATGGTATAATACCACAATATCCTTCTATAGTTTTTTTTTTTCATTTAACATTCTCTTTCATCCATGTTGGTATAAGTAAATTGAATTCATTCACTTAACTAGTATCTGGTATTTCTCTACGAAGAAATCAGTTTATTGTATAGATTCTCAGATAGTTAGGAGACATTTGAATTATGTCTAATTTCCTCTGTTTAAGGAGGTAGAGAAATTTATTCATTCACTACCTCAGAAAGAAAATTGTTTCTGCTTTTTTTTTGTCATTACCAACAGTAGTAATATATACTCAGTGAATATTTTTGTNAAGTGCTATTCACTGTTCTGGATGCATCAAAAGGACTCCTAATTGGGATTAGGAATATGCTGGCAAAAATATTTTTACCAGCTATTCTTGCAACAAGTAATTGGGGTGCTTTAAGCCAGTCTAAGCAAGCAGAGTCTGAAAAACATATTTTCACTGAAACCATCAACAGATACCTTTCATTTTTAGATAGTAAGTATAAAACTTAATGTTTAGTAAATTAGTAAATACAAGCAAATTAACTGTAAGATATGTTACTAAATATAAGCATTAGAGAAAAAATTCCCATCTTAAAAGTTGTGTTAATCAAAGTTATTACAAGACCTAGAGATAAGATCAAATCATTAGAACCTTTCATTTCCAGGGATATTTGTAGATATAAGATATTTTCTTTTTTCTTTTTCATTGTGTCAGAAGGATTCTCTTCTTATATTATTAATGAAAATTTTCACTGTATTTAAAAATACATGCTTTATTAATAGCTCTTTTAGAATATATAATTTTATCTTCCCATATTATTAAATATATAATATTAACAAAGCACCAAGTCACGATCTAATGATCAGTTTGACTTATATTTCTAAAAAGTATTAGATCTCTGACATTACAGCTTAAAACTACATGTTGATATTGAACACCTCTTCTCAATATAATTTCTTCCCTTTTAGGTGCTAGAATAAGTGTTGAGGGAACAGTTAAGTTAAAGAAGATAGATAATGTTGATTTTTCCAAACTGCAAACTTCAGAAGAAGTGGCAGCTGCAGCCAGCAACCCAGAAACTGTTCGTCAACTAGAGGATGTGCTGATGATATGGTACAAACAGATCGAACAGGTGAGCTAACTCAAGTAATTTAATATATAAGTGGTAGTTCTCATCAGTGTCCTGGCCATTGCAGTTTGTCCCTAAAAGTAAAGGGAAGAGGAGTCTTCCTGATTCTGTTATGAAACTTCAGCCTTTTCTCGACTCTAGTGCAAAATCATTGTTCTCTAAGGAACACTTAAAATCAATTTTAAGGTATTTCTTACTTTAAGGGGGAGGCAATGACAATAACCACAACCCCTTTAAGGGGTTGAGAATGAAATAATGAAGAATCAGGAACAGCAAGCATTAATTTATAGTACTTCATATATTGTTTGTATGTGAAGAGGAACAGGACACAGTGAAGATACTATTGCCTCTTGGTTGATCAATGCAATTGTCTGTGTTGACAAAGAGGTTCAGACTAGGCTCATTCATATCAGTTCTACAGTGGCAACTCTGCAACTCTCTGGCCAAATAAATTTTCTCTGGCAATAAGGAAAGCAGTGATAGGAATGAGGTATATGTCAACATTTTGAGAGGTCTCAACTTGCAGTACAAATACTGAGCCAAAAATCAGATACTATGTAATTGCCTAGAG